GCGAGTATACTGGAGTGACTTGCCATGCCTTCCTCCAGGGGATCTTCCCGACTGAGGGATCGAACCCACATCTCCTGCATCTCGTGCATTGGTAGCCAGATTCTTTACCACTGAGCCACCTGGGAAGTCAATATTAATTGTTATTCTATTCTCTACAAAATGAGGGTACTGAAATACAATTATGTTACAAACCTTGCCTTCCCCAACAGGCTCATGGCCACCCCAAATTATCAAATTGGGCTTTTGTAAATACTTCTGTTTTGAACCTACCAGCTTATTTATCTGAGTCTGATTACAAACAGAACAGTGAGCCCTGAGTTCAAGAGTATAAATTCAAACATAACTGATCACTTGAAAGAAACATGAAAATTTTGTCAGCGTCTCCCAAGGGAGGAAGCAGCCACACACAAAAAAACAAACCATGAAGCTGAGTGTTAAATTCTCATCAAGCACCCCATCTACGAATTTGTGATTGGATGTGGTTATATCCATGTTCTAATACAGTATGTGCTCCAACAGGGATGGTTTAAATGACATCACTGTCTACTGTCCTGTCTACTCTATCTTCTAAACTTTTTCAGTTCATCCTCTCTCCTCAGCTTTACCTCCATCTACACTTCAGGCCACCCCTATCTCTCTCAGGAACAAAGTTTCTGTAAATAGTCTGAGGTGGGTGGATACTGGTTAGCAGGAAGATCCCATTTCCACTGGGGTCTTTGTGACCCTAGACTTGCCTTTCTACTTCTTTATGATTCTGATTCTCTTTTAAGGCCCATGAAAAGAGTATTCTAGTCACTTTTTAATACCCATGATTCATATAAAAGAACATGAAATAACTAGAATACACCTATACTGCTCTATCTCTGGGATTCAGAAGTGAAAGTTTATCTTTTTTGTGTGTATTTCAGTTGGGCATTGAAATCCTGTATAACTATTTGATGCTGATAGGGGAAAATGAATGGCAGAGCTCTGGGGTTTGAAGTACCCATCTTTGCTTCTTTCTCACTATTTGGAGAACTTGTAGACAGAGGACAGACCCTAGGAGAACTCTAAAATGCCATTTGTAGAGATGTGGATGGACCTAGAGTCTGTCACACAGAGTGAAGCAAGTCAGAAAGAGAAAAGCAGATCTCTAATATTAATGCATATATGTGGGATCTAGAAAACCGGTATAGATGAACCAATTTCTAGGGCAGGAATAGAGACGCAGACATAGAGAAAGAACATGTAGACACAGGGGGAGAAGGGAAGGGTGAGATGAATTGAGAGATTAGGGCTGACATATATACACTGCCCTGTGTAAAATAGCTAGCTAGTGGGAAGGTGCTGCAAATCTCATAGTACCATAGCTCAGCCTGGTACTCTGTGATGTCCTAGAAGGGGTGGGATGGGGTGGGGTGTATACATGTATACATGTAGCTGGTTTACTTCATTGTACGGCAGAAACTACACAAAATTGTAAAGCAATTATATGCCAACAAAAATTAAACAGAAATCCATTCTGCAATTTCCTTCTTTAGTTTCCTGCAAGGAGCCCCTGCCCAAGGCTCTCACGCTCTTCCCTCTGCTCCACTAAGGCCTGGGCCCTTGTCTGCTTGTCATGTTCACAGTCTCCTTCTCCCCCCCGCCCCCCCGCCCCAGCAAAGGTTCTTTGCCTTCAGATTGGTGCACAATGAAAAGGATCAGATACATGAATTTATAGTACGATGCCTCATCTCCAAAGAGGAAAATTCTCCAAGAGTAGAATTTCAGCTACCTTGAGGAGAAGGGGAGAGAAACAATATGAACCCAGGGTCTTTCAAATACCTCTAATCACAATTTAGTGATGTGATCACCAGTCTGTTCTTGTTTAACAGTGTTCCTGTGACACCTCCCGTGTTAGACACAATTATACACTCTAGGCCCTTGCCTGAAACTGATGAACATTCAGATGGAGGGCAGAGACTTTTTCCTCTGAATAAAACATTTCCCCTAAAGAAATTGGCCAAGGGGCATAGCTCTGGCTGATGAGTCAGAAAATGTAGCCTTTGCTCCCTGCAACACCATTTCCTAACCATGTAACCTTAGACAAGCCACTTAACCTCTCTGAGGAGCAACTTCCTAAACTCACATCAGGATAATAATACCTCCTCTTCATTCTTACAATGGGTTATTTTAGAAAATAAGTAAGATAATAAATGTGAGCTGGCCTTGAGATCTGTAAAATATAAGGTATTAGAACTGAAGGCTGACAACTTCCCTCACCCCGTCTGGTGATTTCAAAGACATCCTACAAGATATTTCCATATTGTCGGCAATATGGAAGGAAGCAGCTGCTGGTCCAAGCCAATTTTAGAAACCTGCATTTTTGCAAAAGGAAGAGTCAGCTCTCATCACAGCAATGTTGCTGGCACAGGACGGGCACTGAAAGACAACGATGCAGGGATGGCCCAGCAGGTGTCAGTAGAGAACCAACTTTTGGTATGAAGCAGGCTCATTGAGGGATGAGGTGATGCAGGGACTTGAGCTCTAACAGGACTGGCAGGATTCCGCCCTTAAATTCAGAGCTGTCTCAATTCTGGAAGCGCAGAACTGGCACCACTGAGATGGGGACAACCCTTGGGCTCTATCTATATTAAACTGAGAATCTTCTCCCTTCAGAGGATTCCTTCTGACTCCCACCTCTTAATCTGGGAGTAATTAAGTCCCTCCTCTGTTCTTAGAACCCATGCTCTAACTTGGGAATATTATCTCAAAGGAAAGGAAAGCTTTGTTTGTCTAGATAAACATTCTTCTGGGAATGCCTTTTCTCTCTCCCTCTCAACAGCAGAGTTGTTTTTTAACATACAATTTTCACCCACACCTGCTTCTCCTACCTTAACATTCAACTCACTCCCTAGAAGTCAAATCTCAGCTATTCAGATTTAATAACTCAAGCAGCAAATCCAGCTTCTACAAGGCAAGTGACTAATACGTGGAGGAGAAGTGAGAGTGGTTCCGGCTATCACACAGAAACCTGTTGAATGAAGTACTAAATTGCTTCCATGTTAAGATGGTCTCTCGTAACTTACTCTTACGAGGACATGACTTCACTGCACATATATGTGAGTCTATCTTATAAATGTCACGTGGAAATGGGTTCTATCATTATGCCTCATGAGGTCTGAGGTCTTTCTTGGCTGAGTGTGGAGAGATGACTTGGAGAGACAGAGATACAGCTTTTTACATCAGCAGAAAACTCCAAACTGCCTGGAGAAAACCTCAAACTACCTGTGCTGCCCTTCTCCCCAATCTCTAAGATCCTCAGTGATTGGGGTTTGTGTGTGTGTGTGTGTGTGTGTGTGTGTGTGTGTGTGTAAGAAAGAGAGAGGGAGAGAGAGAGAGAGAGGGAGAGAAGAGGCACATGTATGTGAAGTGGTATATCCTATTCATGGGATAAAAGAAATATGTGAGAAACTTTGTGAGAAGAAAGGCTAAGTGAGACCAGACCCAAAAGGCTGTCTGCAGCTCCAAAACCAGTCCTGTTGGCAAGAGGTCAAGGGCAGAGCTATGGCCACATAAAGAGATGGCCACCTGTGACTCTGCCTCACCTGGGAAATGAGAAAAGGAATAAATCAAGTGGCTATGGACTTTGTGGTCCCACCACATTGTTATTCACCTTTCCTAACCCCTATCAAAGTCTAACTATTTTTAAAAACTCAGGAACTATATTAACTTCTGGAATATTAAGGTCTCCAGAACAAGGGCATTATGGCCTATTTAGAATAATCCAAGGGATGTGTGTGTGTTCTCTAGAGTCCTAAACTCTAGTACATAGCCTCCACAAGGAACAGAAGGCCCGCACCCAGTACTAAATGCAAGCACTGGCCCAGCAGTCTGTAAATCTTGGGCTGGCAGAATGACAGGCAGAATATACTCAGATTCCTACATTGCTGCAAACCTCTCACATCCTGAGAGCTGGGTAAGCTAAGTTTTCATCTCATTTTGACTGTGAATATTTAATTATGTCCATCCTTTCCTTTGTTTGAAAAAGTATTTAAAATTAAGATTGTGTGTAAGGGGGTCCCAAATCCACAGAGCAATTAACTTGTGTGTTATTCTGCTCAGAGTCCAAAAGCAGGAACAAAAGCAGAAAACAAAACTGGACAGCTGAAGCCCTTGAAGAGTTATGTTATGTAATAAGCAAAGCTCAACATTTACTCTCCTTGAGTTTTTATGCTCAGTGGGTGTGTATCTGTGTCCCCAAGTTTAGGACAAGAATTTGCATTGGTGGTTTAAGGATGGAGACTTGGAATACAGTACAACCGGAGGGCAATGGGGCCCATCTCTTGCTTCAGTCAATGCATAAACCTCTGATTTAGAAGGGAAAGGTCCTATGCATTAAAGAACTGATCCGATGCCATTGTGGCATCTCTGCCTCTAGCGTCCCTCCTCCCCGTCCCCCACCACCCAAAGTTGTTAAACCTTTTAGTATAAACCACTACCTCTGTCGCTCTATTGTCAATTGTAATTTGCCCGTGTAGCTATGCAAACGTCTTTTCATCTCAGCTTCCTCAAAAGACAGCGCTGCCAAATTTAAGCTCAAGTTAATTTGGCTCAGTCTGGCCCTCTTCACTTCTGCTAGAACCCGGAATCCACGGCTACCAGGCCCCCGGAGCCCTCGCTTCTGCCCCCAGGTCCTCGGCCTGTCTCAATTGCTCTGGACCGGTTCATTTCGCCACAGCCCGGAGCCGCTCGGAAAGCAAAGATTAAAGGGGAAAGTCGCAGCTGTATATTTATATTTTCATTGCTAGAAGGGAATTGATTTCCGCGCATTTATTTTGGTAGTTGTAATACACAAGGGCGGATTTGCGTCACCCGAGCAACTTGTCGGTGGAGATAAAGTTGCACAAATATTGAAAGGGGAAGTGCTAGGAGTCATTATAGAGTTTTTCTCCGGAAGAAATAAGGATTTCTGCAGTATCCTAAAATACTAAGGCCGCTTCTATTTTGAGCCCAATCTCGCAGGCACATCCGCTCATTTAGCCGGAGTTTGAGCCCATCAAAAAACAGGAGATGACCTGAACTCCGGCGAGTCCAGGGTTTCCTGCTGCTTTCTTGGTTCTGAGGGGGTGGAGGGAGTAGGGAGGAGGAGGAGATTCTGAGCACTCAAAAGAGGGCGAGGGGCTCGCAGAGTTGGAGCCTGGGCCAAAGGCTTGTGGAGGGGAGGCAGAAGGTGGTCCCAAAGGCTTCCTTTTTCGCGTTTCCCTCCGGGAGCTCCGAGGGGGTCTGAGAGGCGATGATGCGGTTGCAATGAAATAGAGAGCAAGGACGGGCACGCTAGTCCGGTTGCAACTTACAATCAGGCCGTGCGGGCTTGGCGGGCAGAGAGGAGCGGGCGGCAGGGTTAGGAGTTTTCGGGGGAAAATGCGCCCTGGGGCCCCATCCTTGCCCCTGCTACTCCGGGCCTTGAAATGCTGCAGATGCGGGTAGAGGGCGCCGCTGGAAACCCGCAGAGCCGACGTTCCGCCCCGCATGCATCCCGCGCCGGTTCCCGAGGGTCGCGTCTTGTTTGCGGGCGGGCTGCCTGGGGTGAGGCCTAAATGCGCCTCTTTTGGAACTGTGAGATTGTGCTTAGGCCTTGGCTTCAGTGCTCGCAGCGGAATTGGAAGTGACACCAGAAAAAAAGAGAGGAAGAGAGGGCTTCAGGCCGCCCCTACACTCACTGGCGCTAGTGTCTTTCCCCGAGGGCAGCGAAGTTATACAGAGGCCGCGCCCTCCCACTAGAGTCTCCCTGGAATCCTCAGCGTATTCCTTGCAAAGCCTGCACTGGAGCCTTTTAAGGAGGATCCAACACCTCAAGTGGCTTTATACTCATCTACCTCTTTGTCTCTGGCTAGAAACAAAAGGGCTGGTCTTCCTGCCTTTCTCTTGCCCCAGGTGCCCATGACCTTAGCAGATCACCCCACCCCTACCCCCTTTCAATCTCTGTACAGAACATCTCTTTCCCGGCTCCACGGAGCAGGGCAAGAAACCTCTTGAGTAAGAGAGGGAGGGAGAGACAGAGGACTGGGGTGGGGCGGTGTTGTTCTCAAAGCTGACTGGTCACAAATAATTGATTAGTGATTGTTACTTTCCTGGAGAAAGCCAAAAGCTTAAAATGACAGCATCTGCAATCAGTGACCAGAAACCGCTAGCCCAAACCCCGAACTCGAGATAGGCATGACAAATTCAGTTGTCTTCCTGGATTTCTTTGGTAAAGACCAAAGTTTCACTTTAAAATGCCACAGAAGCTTTATGGCAACGGTACTGAAAGTTTGGGGAGGAAAATGCCACAGAAGCACGGAAGTTCTATTAGCAGATGCTTATTAGGACAATCGAAAACAAAAGATTTCGTGGCTTCATTATTAGTATCATTTTATTTTCTTCCTGAAAATGTGCAAGAAGAACTCATCTGGGTGGCCTGTGGTTTGTTTGGGAGAGGGGTGGGGAAATCCATTCTGACTCTGATTTAAAAGAGAACGAATTCTTAAAATAGAGACATTGATGTTGCAGAAAACCCCCACTACACCGACTCTGTGCTGCAAAGACCCCAATTGCGAATAGTCCGCCCACTGCAGCTTTTCCTGCTACCAGGCCTAAGGGGTTCCCTGGGGAAACAGTCGCAGCAAATGAAAGCAGCATTTAACCCCAAGGAAATCGACTCTTGTGGGCACTTGCAAAACAACGGACGCCACGTGATCGGGGATGTGGCGGAGGAGGGAGGGTGACATTTCCTACAAGGTGCAGCAGAGGAGGGGACGCGCGTGCCGCGCTCCCGGGTTTCGGGACGGCGGCCTGTTTTGTTGTCCCTGAGGCTCGGGGCGGAGGGGGCGGGGTGGAGTGGGGAGAAGGTTTGGCTGCGTCCAAGAGAGGCGTTCGGAGACATCCGTCTTATTTTGTTTGAAAAGTTACTCGTTCAAGTTGTCAGTGTGTGACAGCTCAGAATAAAGCTCGTTTGCGACCGCCCCTCCTCTCTTCCCTGAGGATCTCCGCGGCCGGGAAGCAGAAGAGGTGCTCAGTTGCGGGGGGCGAGGTGGGAGGGGGGTGCTTAGTGTCGCTGCACTGGCGCGCGACAGCCCAGGGCAGGGCCGCTCGGGGGCCGGGACCCACGAAAGACTGAGCTTGGTAGAGGACACCTACTCTCGGGGATAGAGGCCGACTGGAGAAAAATCGGGCCCGAGAGAAGCAAAGAGAGGAGGGAAACCTTGGGCGCCGTCAGCGTTCTAGGAGGCCGGCTTTGTACCCTCGCAAATAGGCAGGAGCACCAGTTTCCTTGAAAGAGCGCTCCAGGAGCGCTGTGGCCAACTCTCCGCGCCTGGTGCCGATTCGGAGCCGTAGAAGTTAGTGAGAGGTTAGGACTCCTTGGAACAGCGGTTCGGGCCCCTGCTCTTTGCAGAGTGCGCGCCTAACGCAGCTCAGCCCACGCGGCAGCAGCAAACAGTTTGGCGTGGCCGGGGCGTGGCCGAGGGGGGCGGGCCACGCCCCCTTTCCCAGTTCCCCTCCGTTTCCCACTCCCCATTGGTCGCCAGCGTGGCCAATGAGCGCTCGGATCGAGGTCCTACCCTGGGTCTGACTCGAAAGCTCCTGCCAAAACTTTGGGAGTTTTTAGAGAGGAGTTTTTTTTTTTCCCCTCTCTTATTTTTTTTTTCTTCCAAACTAACGGATTATTATTGTTGTTATTTTAAATTTAGCTCTTAAGGCTTAGCTGTTTGGGTGTTTCTTTCGGTGCCCGATTCCCGTCTCCCCGGCTTCCCTGGCGTTCGTGCAGCCGCGGCCCCCGCCCGCCTAGCCGCTCCAGCGCCCCTGGTTCGCCTTCCAGCCCGCGGGGAGCGCGGGCGCCGCGCCGCCTTTAAAGTGAGGCCAGGGGCCGAGGCTGTGGCCGGCCGGCCTGGATCCGGCCCTCGCCTCCTCCCTCGGTGGCGCTAGGGCTCCCTGGCCTGTCTGCAGTTCGGACGGAGACGAATAAGCGGAGCGTCCCCAGCGGTGCTGCCGCGTCCTCCTGGACTTAGCTCCTCTCCCCGCGCACCCACCCGTCCACCCGGCCGAGCCAGGCCGCGGCGGCCTCTCGGCGCACCCCGCCAGGATGTTCGCCGCCGGGCTGGCTCCCTTCTACGCGTCCAACTTCAGCCTCTGGTCGGCCGCCTACTGCTCCTCTGCTGGCCCCGGCGGCTGCTCCTTTCCTCTGGACCCCGCCGCCGTCAAGAAACCCTCCTTCTGCATCGCGGACATCCTGCACGCGGGTGTTGGGGAGCCCGGGGCGACCCCTGAGGGTCTGGCGGGGGCCTCGGCTGCTGCCCTCACCGCGCACTTGGGATCGGCTCACCCGCACGCCTCTTTCCAAGCTGCCGCCAGATCCCCGCTTCGACCCACCCCGGTGGTGGCGCCCTCCGAAGTCCCTGCTGGCTTCCCTCAGCGACTGTCCCCGCTCTCAGCCGCCTACCACCACCATCACCCACAGCAACAACAGCAGCAGCAACAACCGCAGCAGCAACAGCCTCCGCCTCCACCCCGGGCTGGCGCCTTGCAGCCCCCGGCCTCCGGGTCGCGGGTGGTCCCTAATCCCCACCAGAGCGGCTCCGCCCCGGCCCCCTCCAGCAAGGACCTCAAGTTTGGAATTGACCGCATTTTGTCTGCAGAATTTGACCCTAAAGTCAAGGAAGGCAACACACTGAGAGGTAGGTCTTGGGAGAGAGGCTGCAGGCCTCTGATCAGGCAACTGACGCACTCGCCGATCCCTGGGGCGGTTTGGGATGCCTTTGAGTGTTTTTAGGATTAAGAACAAGCTGGTAAAATGAGGGAAAAGGAAATGAGTTGTAAGGAGACTGTGAAGTATTAGGTTTAGAACTCACTTGCTCTACGTTAGAAACAAAAAACACCACGAAGAATCCAGGGATGCTTTAAAAACACACAGTCACAGAATCAATATTCATAAAAATGATCGGTGTAAATATTTGCTCAAAGGACTATCATCTGTGTGTCTCTTTAATCACATATCTGGAGAGAGAACTATATTATTGGACAGGAAAAGCCCTTTTGGGGAACATTTTCGCCTCCTTTGGTCTGATTTCTGGTGCGATTCCACCGAAGGACTATAGATAAACAATACTGACTGAACTCCCAAGAGGAGAGAGCAGAGTGAGGGCTTCTTTGGGGGAGATGGTTTAGTTCTATGGAATTCTTGGAAGACACTTGAATGTGTCTTGTTTAGGCCTCTTTGCCAAAAGCCCTTCCTAGTTATACGCATGGATGTGGACCTACAGGGCACACACAAGAGCATTTCCTGCACTGCCCTTTGGCCAGTGTCCGGAGAGAGGCGTCTTGGGGGCTGGAGACAGAGATCTCTCACGACTTCGCTCCAGGAAAGCGGAATGGAGGGGGTGTTGGGCGGCAGAGAGAAACAAATCCCAGAGAGTGTGAGTGTGGGTCTGTGGAGGGATAACACCTCTTCTTTTTCCTTGTCCCCAGATCTCACGTCGCTGCTCACCGGCGGGCGGCCCGCGGGGGTGCATCTTCCCGGCCTGCAGCCCTCCGCCGGCCAGTTCTTCGCGTCTCTAGATCCCATTAATGAGGCCTCTGCCATCCTGAGTCCCTTAAGCTCGAACCCGAGAAATTCAGTTCAACATCAGTTTCAAGACACGTTTCCAGGTACGGAAACCCTCCCGAGCGCCCGCCTCACGCTTAGGTCGACCGCCAGCACATCTATTGGAGTTTCAAGTGCAAGCCGCGGTTTAGCAATTCTAGAGTTGATGCTGGAAGTTGCCGCTTCCAGAGAGAAAGTGAAAGATTTCCCAGGAAGCTAGATCAGTCTTTTGTAGCCTGGGGGATGGGGGAGTTTGGGAAGTCAAGAAAGTGTGTGTGGGGCAGGTGGGGGTGATGGGGAGGGGCCTTTCCCTAGTCATTTCTCCCGAGAGGGTGGTTTGAAAATGCAGCAAGTGGTGTTGCTTGTTAACGTACACACATTTTGGAGTGACCTCAAACACTTTTCCGCACCTGGGCACGGATGTGAGTGCACACACACACACACACACACACAGACACACACGAGTAGAGAATCGAGGCTGTCATCTTTGGATCCTTTAGGCCCGAGGGTTATTTTTGCCCACTCTGAGAATGACTGATGGCCACGCTTCGGTTAATGTCTTTCCTTTGGAATTAACCGACGAAATCCCGGGCTTGTCCACTCCACACTCCTGTTAGGCCTTCCGCCTATGGTCTTAAGAGTCCTAAGTTTCCTCTTTAGAGAGGCCATTCCGTGCCTGCCTGAAAGGGCTTTCAGCGCCGAGCCGATTGTTGAGGCAAAACAATTTTAAGCATCGTGTGAGTCCCAGGCGCGCAGGCCGCGGATGGAGCACTAACCGGGCCCTCCTGTCTCTCTCCTGTTCCGGCTCCCCACTGCTGGCAGGTCCCTACGCCGTGCTCACGAAGGACACCATGCCTCAGACGTACAAGAGAAAGCGCTCGTGGTCTCGGGCAGTCTTCTCTAACCTGCAGAGAAAAGGTCTGGAGAAAAGGTTTGAGATTCAGAAGTACGTGACCAAGCCAGACCGAAAGCAGCTGGCCGCAATGCTGGGTCTCACGGATGCGCAGGTAAGGACGCATAGCCCTTCGGTGGGGCAGCAGCTCGGGGCCTAGCCCCAAGGCCCCTCTGCCCGGCCTGACTCCTTTTGCGGTGGAAACACTAGGTCTTGAATTTCACGAGACTTCGTGGACTTCTCAACTTGCGAGGGAGAGTGGAAGAGGGTGGGGGGAGAAGAGCAGAAAGAGCCCACCCTAAAGATATATGTCACAAGCTGCCGCATGCTTATTTTGGCCAACAAGGAAAAGCCTGTTGCTGAGAAAGCAAATAGGCCGCAGGAGATAATAATTACCTACTCCAACGTAACGCAGTTGGCCGTCGGGGGCAGTTTCAGAAGTGATAAAAATCCAAAGTCAAGAGATTGTTGTTGTTGTTTTTTCTCCCTCCTCTTGTTCTCCCTCCCTCCTCCTCCTTCTGCTGCGGCTGGATTGTGAAATCCCCAGTTGTGAGGAAGTGAAAACATCATTTCAAACGGAATTACTTAGCCCAGTAGGGTGAGAAGTCCACTTGGAGCGGCCACAGTCAGTCCCATTTTCTAACGGCCTGATGGGAGGGGGGCAGTGAGGAAGAGAAAAAAAAAGATTTTCTTAGAGCACCTAAGAGCATTACACCAGGTTCTGCCTACTTGAGTTGTTTGTTTGTTTGTTTTTTAAGGCAAACCTTCAAATAGCAAATCTGTTGTGCCTGAATTCAATTTTTTTTTTTCCTTTTCTCAAGTTCCAAGACCTGGATTTTTATTTTTTTAAGTTTTGAAAATAAAGAGTCACAGGTCTTCCATACCTCACAGCAGTGGCCCTTGCTTCCTGAGTGCTGAATATTCTGAACAGGGCAGAAGCCAAAGGCATTTTTTCACAGCTCCCTTAGCCCACCCCCACTTCTGTCCTTCATTACACAACTCCCCTCCCCAGCACACACACTGGAAGAGCCCAGCCGTTTTCCACCAGCTGTGGATGTTATTTTTAAAAGGGAAGCTGGAACTTGTGTGAAAGCATTGGGTCCCCTAGGGGATTATATATTTATATAGATCCTCTGAACCATCCCTACCCCCTTCCTCCACTTTGCACAGGTTTAATGCCAGCGTTTTCTGAGCCCTCAGAAGGATTAGTTTATCTCAGGCAGGGGCAGGGTCCTTATCAGTTTCTAAATACACACACACACACACACACACACACACACCCCAAGAAAATGCTCTTTTACTGAAGGTCCATTGGTGCCCTCATGCCACTGGGATTAACTCTTTGAATCCCGTTCCCCTTTCTTTCTCAGGGTTCCTCCTTAAAAAGAAATATTCTTGTACTGACTTGCCTTCAGTAAAGGCTGTAGAGGAGCAGTGGACTTAGCAAGGATTCTTAACAGTGGGCCACCAAACCCTTGAAATTGTATGAAAAATCTTGGGTATATGATCATTTTTCTGGCTCAGGGGACCATAGTTTAATCAGATTCGTGGGAGGGGGTGGTCCCGGCTCAGATGGGGTTAAGAAGCATCGATTTAGAGTATTGATGCCTCTAATTTGAGGATAAGGTGCAAGGACCTGCCTTTCCAACAAGCATCCAGGTGACTTCAGGCTACAGGTCGGAGGGCCACATTTTGAGAAACGGTCCTAGCGGCTTCCCTGAGCCAGGATCCCTGGTGGTCCTCGTGGTTTCCCTGGGCTGCCTCTGGGTCCCTGCTCCTAGCCCAGTACCTGGCCTGTGATAGAGGTGCTGGGGACGATCAGTGATGCTTTTCCGCCTTGGGGAGAGGGTCTGGGATGCTCGAGAGTCGGATTGGAGCGAGCCTGCCTCTCATCTCCACGTCCCTTTTTGTCTCCCGGTGCGGCGCGGTGCAGGTGAAAGTGTGGTTCCAGAACCGGCGGATGAAGTGGCGGCATTCCAAGGAGGCTCAGGCCCAGAAGGACAAAGACAAGGAGGCGGGCGAGAAGCCGTCGGGCGGAGTCCCGGCTGCTGACGGCGAGCCGGAGGAGCGGAGCCCCAGCCGCTCGGAGGGAGAGGCGGAGAGCGAAAGCAGCGACCCGGAGTCTCTGGATATGGCCCCCAGCGACACGGAGAGGACTGAAGGGGCCGAGCGGGCTCTGCACCAAACGACGGTCATCAAGGCCTCAGCGGCCGGCGCCCTCCTGGCCGCCAGCAGCGGAGGCCCTGGAGGCAGCGGCGGCGGCGGCGGCTTCAACTTCGGCGGCTTGAGTAGCGGCAGCACCGCCAGCGTCGGGAGCTCCGGCAGTCACAGCAGCGGCGGCGCCTCAGAGCTGCTCCCCGCACCCCAGCCTGCCCTCAGCAGCGTCCCCAAAAGCCCCGAGCCCGTCCCGGCGCCCCTTGGCGGCCTCTAGACTGGACGAGATTGGAGGAGCCCTGCGTGCAGACCCCCAGCCTTCCAGTGTGGGCTGGATTCTGTGCCTACTCTCCAGTGGTGGCGGGGCCCCGGGGTTCGAGACGCAGCAGCGGCGTCTCGCGCATCGCCTAGCCGAGTCGGTGCTGCCCACCCGGCACCGGCACCGAGCCGAGGGAGAGTGCCCCGCACCCTCACCCCAACCGCCACCGCCAGGCTCCCAGCGTCTGACGAACACTCCTGCTCGGAGACAGGCAGACCACACTGTGAAGCGTTGGACTAAACAGTTCTCCCCTCACTAGGGGTCACGGTGCAAAGACGCGATGCACTTAGGATGCCACAAACTTGTAAATAAAATGTTTACTCTGGTTTGTAAAGGCCACTTGGCTTGCTGGGGCGAGACGATCCTTAGGGTCTGGGCTCTCCGACCTGGACTTTAGCCCCGGGCACTGCTGGTCGCAGCCGCTGCAGGTGGGGGACTAGAGCTTGGGGGGGAGCATACTGCAACCCTGGAGCCACCTCTCTGCAGACTTGGGCAAAGGCTTAGAGGTTCCATCAGTCCGTTCCATCACGCCAGCTGCCATGATCTAGCGATCCATGCACCAGAGTATGGCCTGGGAGCCCAGTCTGCCATAGAATCTGATAGGCCTTTCCCACAGATGGTTTACCAGGAGTGTGTGCACCAGCTTTCCACAGCAGCTGTAAGCAGAGTGTAAGCAGGGTTGGTGGAGAAGAGGGTAGTGGGGGACAAGGTCAACCTCTCCAGCGCTGGTACTGGAGTCTAGAGAGGCAATTCCACATCTTGCTTGTGCATGGAGTAGGGGGACTGGGCAGGTTCGCAGTGTCCAGAGAAAAGGACCACACACTGTCCGCCAGTGGCTAGGGCTGGAAGACTGAGCCTGTGATGATTTTAAAGCTGCCAACGTATTGCACGGCAGAATGGTGATAGTTCAGGGTCACTTCCCTTGTCCCAGATTGAGGAGGAACCCAAAGCAGAACTTGGACCTTCTGGCTCACATTTGGTCAGTGAAGGGCCTGAAACACTGCACATCATCTGTACCTCCCCCATCAGCATGTACACACACACACACACACACACACACACGATCTTCCAATAGACCGGTCCCTACACTTGACCATTTCCAAGCTGAGGTGAGATGAAAGGCAGTGCTCCCCTCATACTGCAAATGGAATATAGCAAATCTATTTTTGCCTCCATGTTGCTTCTGGGATGGGCCATTCAATTTTTTCCTTTTTTTTTTTTTGAAACCTTGAAGAGTCAAATCTCTCTCCAAGACAGCCACACCCCTTTCCCTTGAAACTAAGAAATGTCTGGAGTTGGTAAAACGTTATTTCAGGAGATTTTAGAACAAATAGGCCTTGTGGACAAAACCTGATCACCCTGGTCTGTTTGACACTGAGCTGGGGCGAGGGCATAGCCCTCTTACAGACCCACCATCCATCACAGGAAGCCAGTTGTCCCATGGGGCCCACTGGGAGGGAGAATGTTGCCCCTGAAGAGATGCTGAGGACAGTGAACCTAGGATGCCCCTAGACCCAGCCCTGGTTGGAGCTCCAAGAGGCTCCCTGGTCTGGCTTAGCTGCCTCCCCTGTTCTAGACTTCTGGGCCCAAGGACAGAGTGGAGCCCCCAGATTTAGTTCTCTTTTGCCTGGTTCGGCTGGTTACCTGGACAAGTCCCAGAGTGCAGCCCAGGGATACAAGGCTGACCATTCCTTGCCTCAGTCAGCCAGTCAGTAACCCCAGTGGAGCTGAGCTCCTGGAGGAATGTTCACAGTGGGGAGAAGGAACTGCTAGGGTGGTCTGGCCTAGGAAAGATAAGAGAAAGGTAGAGTGCCCTGGAAGGGACCTCAAGGTAAATGGGGACATCATCCAGCTGTTATCCCTAAATGGGCCACTTGTTTTGGGGGGTGATGGCAGTCTCACCACTTGCTGTGAGTCCCAACCCTGAGTTAGGTTGATCCCTTCACTCCTTCAGGCACAGCCTCTGCTGCCTGAACTGTAGGATTGTCTCTGTACCTCTATTTTGCCTTCAGTAGCCAGATTCATTTCCTCTCATTCCCCAAATACTGAAACCGGGACATCCCAGGAACATTGAATTTTGAGGCACTTAAATTCAGTTCTGGCTGGGAAGGCGAGCTGAGGCGGGGGTGGTGCTTTCTACTCACCGCAGCCACCCCGCCCCTCCCGAGGCCGGCGGGATGCTGCAGGCTCCCAAACCCGCGCAGCGTTTCTCTGCCTGCCTCCCCAGCTTTTGAAACGGAAGGAAAACGTCTCCCAGGGACTGCAGTGGTGTGATTTCAGGTAGAACTCGTCCTCATCCCGGCCAGGTCCCCGCCAGACTAGAGGGCATGAAGGAGCTGGGGGGGCTGGGAAGAAAATGAGCCGGCAGCGGGAGTCGGGATGCTCACGGGGCGGGGCGGGGGTGGGGGAGAGTGTCGCTGGAGGCGCCCCCCCGCAACCACCCCCACCGCTCATTCCTGAGTATTTTGCACATGAAAATCTGGCGGATCTGTACTCTGGGCCGCGGAGTTCTTCCATATTTTCATCAAGAAGGGAGTATCATAAGCCCGGGAGAAGAAGTTTGAAGTTCGTTTTAAAGAAAAGCTGCCCTTTCGGAGGGTCTCTCTAGGTGGGCCGAGTGGCTGGATGGAAAACCGCATTTCGGGCCAGGCCGCCTCATCCCGGGACTACTCGCTCGGCCCGGGATACGGGGATTTTCCCGGTGGCGCTTGATGCTAAAAAGAGTGGCCGGGGAGGCTAGAAATTGTTGAACTAAGGCCGAGATTTCGCATGCTTGTAAGAGAAGGCTGAGCGGCAAGGTCCGCGGACCCCAGGCTCGCCGGACTGGGGCGTGGCGTGAGCTGGTGCGCGCGGGCCCTGGAGCTGAGCAGAGCCGCGACCCCTGCCCCTACCCGCGCGGCCCGCAGGCCTCGCCCTTTGCTCAAAGCAGTAATAACTCTTTGCCCAGAGCAGGGCCCCGCGTCGCCAGCTCCGGAGTCCTGGCGGCGCCAAGCCCTCGGAGCAAGGTTACCAAGGCGCGGCTCAGGGCGCGCAGAGAGCTGGCGACCTGCGCGCGCCTCTCTGGGACGCGAGGGGGATCTGCTACGCCCTTCGGCTGCACGCACGCGCGCGCACGCACCCAGTTTTACACACGTAGGTCAAACACAAATACACAGGCCCTCCTAGGCACACAGAAACGTAGACGCAGACGAGCACAAGGGACCGTCTACTGGCTAGTTCAGGGCTTCGCGGGTAAAACAGGCAAATCAAGTTTCGCGTTTTCCTCCAAATGGCCAAGCCAAGTCAGGAGCCTCACACCGCCTTTCTCTGCCAGTGTGGGTGGGTGGAGCGCTTGTCTCTAGAAAAGTTTTCTTGCGCCAAGATTCGCCGACTAAGCCCCTAAAAGCAGGCGCCGCGTTCCGCTGCGTTTGTCAGTCTCAGCCGAGGGTGGGCAGGACCACGACGCCGGGAGGTGTTGGGAACGTGTAGCCATTGCGTGCTGTCCCCACCGAGGTTAACACTGTCTGACCCTGCGGCACTTCAAGGGGGGTCTTGAAGCTGTGGCCCGCACACCCGACAAGGAGATCCCCCTGATCTCCCCTTCTCCCCCTCCTCCAGCTAGAATTTGCGCGTATGATGGGTATGGGGTGGGGGGCAGTAGCTCAGGCTCCCGTTGTCACAAATCCTTGCGCACCTCAGAAGGTCCCAGTGGCTCTATGATCTACCCTGCTCCCTTTAACTAGGGTCTACATTGGGGTTTGGCAAGGGTTCCAGTGCGCGGCCAGCTCGGCGCAGGTGAGCGCTGAGTGCTCGGCCTGCTGGTAGCTCCTGCTCTAGGTACGGGAAGCCGACGTTAGCTAACGGGAAGTTGACCCCGGGTTCTCCTGTAACCACAATCTCCGGGAACTTTGGGGTGCCCTGCAGCAGGGGATTTTCTGCGAGCGTTTGAGTCTTGAGCTCTAGCTTGTTGAGCTTTAACCTGTTCCAGGATCTGACCCCACCGAAGACCTCAGACTCTCGGAGTGCAGGATGCGCCTTGCGCGACTCTGAAGCAAGCAGTGGGAAGAAGTCAGAGGCTGAGGTCCTCGCACCCTCCTCCGGTTTGAGCGCGCCCTAGATTCCCTCCGCCTTCGTCCTTTCTTAAGAAGGAAGAGCGGGTAGAGGGGCTAAGAGCTCAGGCCTTCCTTCTCTTACGACGCAGTGATGTTACTTCAAGATGCCCGAGAGGACCCTAAATGCTCAGGGCTCTCGGATCTTCTCCAGTTTAGTCTGGGGGTGGAGTGGGGGTAAGGGGGTTGCACACTCCGTGGTCTTTGTGAAGATGTAAATACTGGGTTTTAAGCAGGACTTTAACTGCAGATAGTCGCGGGTGGGGTGGCGGGGGGAGATACACCCCAGTTTAGTGTGCTCACATCTGGCCCACAGCCTCACCTTCGAGGTTGCGGTGGGATTGGCCAGCGTGCCAAAACCCGCCTTCTCCGCAGCGGCTTCTCACACACGGGAATATCAAAACCTGCAGCGCCCCCTGGGAATCCCAACTACTCACACCGGGTGCACTTTCTAAGATAACTCCCCCATCCCACCCGGTTCTAACGGAGAACAGATTCTGCGAGGCCAGTTGGGGGCCTCCGAGTTTGGAGAAGCCCTAGGCCCCTGGGTTCCTTAGCTGCCTTGCCCTCATTCACTTTGGGAACGAAGATGAAAAGTCCCCGCTAGGTGCGATTACTTCATTTTAAAGGATGAGGCCACGAAGGCCAGAAGTCTTGATGTTTGCCCATTTCCTCTAGAGAGTGAGTGCCAGCCTTCGGTCTGGCCCTGGGTGAGTGCCTCTTAAGGTGCCAAAGGAGAGGGGTCTTTCAAGAGCCGCAGGTCTGGGCTTCCCCGGGGATTGACACCCCTGCCCTTCAGCCTGCGCCCCCTAGGTACAGGCTTAGCTTTGCTAATAGTGTCCAAGACCCCTGGCCGCGCCCTGTTCACAG